GGGAGCCCGGTCTAACTCCGGTCTCCCCGGGGGTGCACGGACACGGCCGGGCGAGGCAGCAGTCCCGGGCCGAGGGCAGTCCCGGCTACATGTTCTCGATGGTGCAGGCTCGGACGCGGTTGGTGGAGAGGCATTTGAGAGCCTTGAGTTTAGCCCCCAGAGTTTTGGCTTTCAGGGTATATATTATGGGGTTTCCCAAACAGTTCATGGTTATCAGCATAGCCGTGCAGTTTCGAAAGATGTAGACACCTGGGTAGAGATCAATGTGGCACTGATGGTTAGTCGCATCGAATATGACTCCTGCGAAAAAAGGAGCGTAGGAGATCAACGCCAGGAGCCAAATAAAAATACTGGTTCTGGCAACCTGGATTTCAGCTGATTTGTAGGTGCCGGTAGCTTGTCCACATGCTTTCATTTTCAGCTTTCTTTTCCTCAAGATTATAATGATTCTAAGGTAAGTGAACAGAGGTATAATAAAAGCCACCACAACATTGGGAATGGCGATGAAAATGAGGTAGTCAACACAAAACGGACTGTAGAGAACAGAGAGATTTTTTTCCATACGCAAGCAGTTCCACCCCATCAATGGCAAGCTGCCCAAAAAGAAAGCAAGGACCCAGTTAATTAAAACTGCAGCTATGGAATGGTTTCTAGCAACCCTGAATCTTGTCCTCATGCTTTCAGCCACAGCTAGATAGCGTTCAATTCCAATGCTTACCAAGTTGTAGATGGTGGACAAGATAGACATAGTATATAAGGCATAAGGTGCAAGCATATCCTTGGATCCAAAGATTGTAATGTCGGGATTGGTGATGAACAGCATCGAAATCCAAAAGCCAGAAAAGCTGGTGAAGAGATCAGATAAAGCCAAATTGCAGAAGAGTATAGAGATAGGCTTGTGCAGATCCTTTGTTGCCATTCTGGTGAAGATGACTGTGCAGTTGAAGATCACAGATGCTATGTTGATGGTCAGTTGGGGGATGCCCAGTGCAAGTACTAAATAATGGCTCCAAATTTTCGTGTGGTTAACAGAGCAGTTTGGGAATCCATTCATGGTGGAAAATCCTACTTTCAACCGTTAACAAGGTCTGCTTTGCACATCCCGTGTTCCGTCAGAGACCATACTACACAAGCGTTACTGCCACCTTGTTCTCCAGGTGAAGAATGAATCCCGACACACAGCTTCTACTGCCACATCATCATCATGACAGTGGATTAAACTTTAACCACGCGTGTTTTTAAATATTTGGGTTACCAACTCAGAGCATAGCCAATTACCTTTCAGTTGCTAGGATAGCCAAAAGTGGAAAACATATTTACTACTACACAGATGATTTGGTTAAAGCAACCTTTATCAAGAGCAAAATCTGGTCAGTTCTTGTAAAGAGGAAAGATCACATCAGTAGTTTAAAAGTCTTTGAGGATATTCTAAAATGGACTGAATGTGAATTTAGCTTTAATTCACAAATAGATTAGTTAGACAAAGGATTAGAGAGTCAGAAAATGGAGAGCAGTCATTTTTTGGTTTTGGAGGGGGATAGTATGTGACTGATGGAACTCAAAAAAGAACATCACTGTCGTGTCACTAACCTGGACCCCAGTTCAGTGAAGGATGTAAGTCCTCATTTCAAATCAATTCTAGTGACATCGCAAAACTTCTAAAATGCCCTCGGTTGAGCAAGAGACTACGGAACGTAGCTTTTCACTGCCTCTTGCTTACAATTGCAAATTGATGTGGCCAACAGCGGCTGTCTTTCTAAGCACAGTTAGGTCATAGCTACAGAACAAACCCCAAACTTCCAAGCAAAACCATATGATGAACTGCAGCACTTCAAAGGGGATCCGAAAAGGTTCTTACCTTGGTCTCCACAGGTGCTCTTGTGCTTGGGCCCACAGAAGTATCTCTGTACCGAGTACTGGAGTACGCAGAATTTGTCAGAATACACCTGAAATTGTATGGCCTTTCTTCCCCTTGTGTAAATCAGAGGTACTGATGCTTTCCAAGCTGAAAAAAAAAAAGAGATTTATTCAAAGAGCTGTAGAATTAACTATTTTCAAACAAGGAAACGCAGGAGAATGGCTTAACCCTTTAGTAGATTAATTGCATTGAAGACTTAAGATGCCTAAGCAGTCCTGATAATGCCATTTTTCCACCTTAATTCTTGGATGAGAATGTAGCCAGAAAATGACAGACACACCTTTTTTATGAGATATTTTGTGTTTGCCTGTTTAAAAATGACGCATAACTTGTGCGTTATTAAACCAGTGTAATATCATTATATCTTTTGTTTCTGTGTCTTTTTAAAGGTAAATGATTTTTGAGAACTAGATTTAAAGTACTTGGGAGGGGGGGAAGCTCTTTGGACATACATTCAACGCTATCGGACAGCAGAGGGCACTGCTGGAACAAACAACACAGTATGCAGTGGGGAATGTGGGGATTTTAAACAGCGGAGTTGAGGGGAGCAGTGCATCAGTATAGCAATATGAACAGCACCGTGGATATTTTTTCTACGCAGAAGTGACTGCTTTTATTTGCTGATGCTCAGTGGGGGTCGCCTCTGTGTCACCCTACATTTTATTCCATGCCCCCATACAAGGAGAAATCTCCAGCGTGCTCTGGCTGCTAACTGGCACCTCTCTGCAACCGAGCAGATGGTTTTTGCAAGCTTTCCTTTAGCAAAATTATCCAGGTAAAGCCATGTTACTTACAAAGTTATTCTGAGTTAATATTTTTTTTTACTGTTATCCTAACAAAGGATTAATTTGCTTTAGTCACAGTTTTATATCATGATATTGCAATAGCAGCTCAGCTAAGTTAATGGGCTTTCCACATTCAGTGCTGACATCTGATCATTTTAGCAGCAATTCTAGCTCTAAAACTGTAAATCTGTGAACTAGGCGATAGTTCCGCCAGAATTTACAACATAAGAAATTTGTGCCAAAATGTTAAGCTTATAAAGGAAAATTCTGTAACTTCTTTTTTTCTATTAAAGTTGGTATGTGTGAAAGTATATTCAGGTTCGTGTGCAGTTAGTAGCACACAATTATTATATACTAGACATACTTTATGCAAATGAGTGAAAGGTATTTCAGATGGTCACAGGGAAGTGCGAAGAATGATTATAAAGCGAAAAGAATGATTATATGGAAATAAGGCATGAAAATTGATTAATCAAGCCTGCTGATGTATTAATAACCTATAAAATATTCTTCTCAAAAGTGTCCCAGATAAACCATTCTTCGTGCCTCCTGTAATGAACCTCATACGGACTTGTCAGCCGCACCTTCGGTGTGAGGTTGCTGCTGAACAAGGACTCTGCTATTTCTGTCACCTTGTCAGTGCCAGCACCACGAGTCAGCACGTCCTTTTGATAACAGCGAGTGTGTCAGCAGGTAACGCACAGCCCAGCGGAGCGTCGGTAAGGAATGGCAGAAGACACCAGACCAAGGCACACACACTCCTGATCTCTCCTGGTTGTGTTTTCCGTGGCTCTGTGAACGGAGGGAGGAGGGGCCGAGGGTGGTGATGAACAGCAGGCTATCCACAAAGTCCGACAGCTTCAAAAATATCCTACTTACTAGGAAGAGTATGTCTGTGAACTTCCAAAGTGCCCTAGATAGTCCTGAAAACGCTACTTGAAATTTCTCTAATTTGAAAATTTGGTGTTCAAGCATGAAACACTAAACAACATGAGATCAGAATGTAATTAAAAATAATATCAATTAGTATAAATAGCTCTTCACAAAAGCTTTGTAATCTTATTTCCTTAACATAATTGCATAAAAAATAGCATAATGTCGCTAGATTAAAGAAGACAATATTGTTGTGGAAACTGCTTTTTTTTAGGGTGCTTCAATACATAACCCCCCCCACCCCCCTGCCCCGATTTGTATATTCCAACCCTCTGTAATAAAGTTTGAACTCTCAAAACCAGATAAAAAGTAGTTTGAATTGAAAACACTGTGTGAGACAGAGGGCTACTACATAGCCAAATCCATTCCTATAACAACCTTGATTAAAGGATATTCTT